TATGGAGGAGGAGGATGTGTTGGAGAGGGAGAGGGAGGCACCAAAGGCGTGGGGTGAGAGGTCCTCCATCTCCCCACTATATATAGGGGGGCCAAGGTGGGGCGGCCCTAGGAGATCCAATCTCTTAGGGGGGCGGCGGCCAAGGGAGAACTCCCTCCTCCCCAAGGCACCTAGGAGGTGCCTTCCCCTTTTGGGACTCTTCCCTTCTTAAACCCTAGGCGCATGGGCCTCTTGGGGCTGGTGCCCTTGGCCCATGTAGGCCAAGGCGCACACCCCTACAGCCCATGTGGCCCCCCGGGGCAGGTGGCCCCACCTGGTGGACTCCCGGGACCCTTCCGGTGGTCCCGGTACAATACCGATGACCCCGAAACTTGTCCCGATGGCCGAAATAGCACTTCCTATATATAATTCTTTACCTCCGGACCATTCCGAAACTCCTCGTGACGTCTGAGACCTCATCCGGGACTCCGAGCAACATTCGGGTTACTGCATATACATATCCCTACAACCCTAGCGTCACCGAACCTTAAGTGTGTAGACCCTACGGGTTCGGGAGACATGTAGACATGACCGAGATCGCTCTCCAGTCAATAACCAACAGCGGGATCTGGATACCCATGTTGGCTCCCACATGCTCCTCGATGATCTCATCGGATGAACCACGATGTCGAGGATTCAAGCAACCCCGTATACAATTCCCTTTGTCAATCGGTATGTTACTTGCCCGAGATTCGATCGTCAGTATCCCAATACCTCGTTCAATCCCGTTACCGGCAAGTCACTTTACTCGTACCGTAATGCATGATCCCGTGACCAGACACTTGGTTGCTTTGAGCTCATAATGATGATGCATTACCGAGTGGGCCCAGTGATACCTCTCCGTCACACGAAGTGACAAATCCCAGTCTTGATCCGTGTCAACCCAACAGACACTTTCGGAGATACCCGTAGTATACCTTTATAGTCACCCAGTTACGTTGTGACGTTTGGTACACCCAAAGCACTCCTACGGTATCCGGGAGTTACACGATCTCATGGTCTAAGGAAAAGATACTTGACATTGGAAAACTCTAGCAAACGAACTATACGATCTTATGCTATGTTTAGGATTGGGTCTTCTCCATCACATCATTCTCCCAATGATGTGATCTCGTTATCAATGACATCCAATGTCCATAGTTAGGAAACCATGACTATCTGTTGATCAACGAGCTAGTCAACTAGAGGCTTACTAGGGAAATGTTGGTGTCTATTATTCACACATGTATTACGATTTCCGGATAACACAATTATAGCATGAATAAAGACAATTATCATGAACAAGGAAATATAATAATAATGCTTTTATTATTGCCTCTAGGGCATATTTCCAACAGTACCATCAACATAGTGGCACATAAAAGTATATGAATTTGAATTGATCAAACCAAATAATTACAAATACTCATATACATGGCTGTGGTAAAGTCATATAGGTGGTATGTATGCAAATCCAAACTATAAAAATCAATTGTATGAATTGGCTAATACTGAATTTAAGTGCCCCAAACACTCGCAACACCTAAGAATTTAGTGGCTATATAGCATTGCATAGAGCATGATGGCATACCATTGAGAATATATTCCACCTACCATGCACATCATGAGTTGTATAGACGTGCAACCCCCTTTTTGTACTAAGTGTCGCAAACCCGTCAGAACATTTCTTATTCCTTTTTTATCACTAACAACACTTCACAAATTGTGATATACAACATCTAATGCACACTATTCCCAATATTTTCCTGCATCCAAACTTGCCAAAGATGGACTAATTGAACAAAGATCTGACATACATATATAAATAATCTTACAACCATGATAACAACAGAATAATGATGTTAATAATCACATAGCAAAACATCCACCATAAAAATTTACATAGATGATCATAATGATAGATTGTGCATATGATCTGCAGACATGTAGCACAATATGAGAAACTGCTACATAGCTACTACCATAAGCATGTAGTCCCAGAGGTGTACTACTCACAACTCATCGCATAGTAACTCAGAGATGATCTTCATCAAGAACAATGGTGAATTCCCCCTGTAGCAGGGTGTTGGAGAAGCAATGTAGAAACTCTTCTCTTGTGTTCCACAAACATCTTGGGCAGTGGCGACAAAATAATATGTGAAAGAAATTAGGGCAGGCCTAACTTATATATAGAAGGGTTGTGACCAAAGGGCGGTTGGAACCTTAGGAGGGGTCCGCGCACCCCTTGTGTGCCTCCCCGGTTACCCTATGGCGAGGTTTTATTATCTTCCTTGAAATTTCTTCCTGATTTTTTCCATGTTTTTTGAGAAAATCCCGAAAGCGTAAACATTGCAAAAAAAGGCTTTATGGCGACAAACAATAAGTTAGTCCTCAAAATAATGACTAGTTCATTCATTATATAACAGGAAAAAGTGCAACTAAACATATTGATACATTACAACGTATCATAGGGGGGGGGGGAGTAGCTTGTAAGAGGAGGAGGCCGGGGGAGGTCAACATGACGGCCCAAGGATCATCTAGTGTGTGTGTGTGCTACCGTTGATAGGCAAGTAAGGAAGATGATTCACCACCTTTATTTCCTATTGCCATATGTATAGGTCACTCACAGATTATTTAGTTTGTCCTGAATCCTTGTCCATTTTTCAATCAGTGCTGGTGTTTCTATCTTTTTCTATGAGCAACATCGCAACCATCTTTAGATGATCCTAAGCCTGAGACCAAGTGCTCCGTGTGGCATGGCTTATTTTACTGTTTAGCTCAAACCACTTCTACATATAAATTTGGATACAAAGTCCAGATCTTCTAAGATACTAACCTCTCTATATTTTGAGCATCATGGTGCGTCGTAGGGGTTGTTATGGACCCCCCATATAAGTGTATGTGTCGCTAGTTCGGAGTAACGCACGCCTAACCATAATGGAACATACAGGTTTTTTTTTATTTTGAGAATGTATTGTCTGATTTTCTATCTTCCTTTTTTGTCCTCATGCTGGTCGATTCGCCTAGACATTTAGTCGGGCCTATTGTTGTATATTTATTTCCCTTCCCTTCTTTTTGCACATAACACATTTATTTGAATTTTTAAAAAATATCAAAAGAAATTTCTATAGTTTCGGGTCAAAAATCTTCCTTTTTCCATTTTTACAGCTTTTAATATTTTAATATTTTTTATTTTCTGTTTTTTCTTCTCTTTATATTTATTTTTTATTTTTTTCACACTTAATTCATGAATAAGCTTCATAGATTTGGAGCCTCCTCGTCCATCAAGGTGTAAGGGTTTATATGGACCCGTCTGTGAGGATGTGTACCATTGGTTAAAAATAATGTACATCTAGCTGTAACTAGTAGAGGCGCATGTGCAACGCACGTTAATATTTAGGTAATATATTAATTACACGTAGATATTAGGAATGCAATTATTTGTGTGTTAATCATGTGATTGGTGCAATATTTGGTATGATATTAATTGCACGTTAAACACGTTTAACGCTCGCCATTGGAGCAGTCTAGATCGTTGGATTGACTTAGTTCGATGGCCGAGATCAGTTGGATCTGCCCCTTTGGGTTTTTTTATATTGGTATAGATGGGCCGGTCGGTTTTGACAAGGTATTTCCTAATTTTTTGTTTTTCTTGATTTTCGGTCTTTTTCTACTATTTTCAATAGCTTTTATTTCCTTTTTTGCTTTTATCTTCTTATGTGTGTTTTTTCCTTCTCTTTTTATTTTACCTTTTTACATTTAAAAAACATGAATATTCTTTAAAATCCTCAAACAATTTTAAATTCATGGACACTTTTTAGTTCATGAATATTTAGAAAATTCATGTGCACTTTTATAGTGTGTAAATATTTTTAAATCTGTCAACTTTTTTCAAATTCATGAACATTGTTTGAAATTTACAAAAAAATAATTCCTGGAATTTATTAAAATTCATTTTTAAAATTCGCAATATTTCTTAAAATCCAAGATTTTTTTAAATTCCATGAACATCTCTTTATTTAATGAACTTTTTCAAATAAAACATACGATAGCCGGATTTCTTTGATCTAGTCAAGCGAGCAGAGGAGCAAGCCGAACTGAGCGAGCAGGGAATATTGCGAATACGATAGCCGGGCCATGCGAGCGTTATAGCAACAATTTTATGGTTTGAGCGTGGAATAAGAGCTCCCAAAGGGGCTCACTAACCATCATCGGCTGACACCAACGCCGCCGAAACATGTAAGAACACCACAACCACGCATCGAACAGCTCCACTCTTCTCTTAGAATAAATACAGTTTCTAACAGCAGCCCAACGCGATATACGAATGAAAGAAACACCAGCATAACATAATTAAAATCCAAGCCAACATAGATAAAACCAAAATGAAACAACCGACTGCTAGAGAAAAAAGAGTTGGTCTCATGAATGAATAATGGCACGGCGAAGCGCGCGGTAGCTCTCTAGTAGAACTCAATGATGAATGAAATGGTTTCTCCAGGTTAGCCCTCTTGTACAGTTCAATGTTGAATGAGATGGTTCCTGTAGGATTACATGTCTGGGGCAGACAAGAGAAGAACTAGACTGAGTGTTTCAGGAGGATGTTCACAAACAGTATATGACCAGATCTGGAAACATATTATTGCTGGATTCACTTTGGGTGTGTACGCACTTCTGTTCACAGCATTACAAGTCATGCAAATTAACACTAGCTTTCTTTCTTTCTTTCTTTCTTTCTTTCTTTCTTTCTCCTCATTTCATACATTTCGCTACAACTGCATGCAGACTGACAATTTACAAGGATTCTAGCCCCAGCACCAGATTGATCATATAAGAAAGAAAGAAGAAAACATTATTCCAACAGACTAAAACAAACGGTTCCTTCTTGAGGAGACTACTAAAAGGTACCAGCAAAAAAAGAAAAAGAAAGGTAATTACACGCCCCTGCTAAATCTAGCAGCAGGCAATTATTCTTGCTTCTGTCATAGCCCATACGCGGTGCTGAAGTAGCTCTTGGTCACGTTCCGGTTCAGGATCTGCAGCACCTTGCCGTTGCCCGGGCTCACGAACCGGGGCGTCTTGAACTGGCTCACCGCGCCTCCTAGGGTCAGGAAATGGAGTAGGATCTCCCTGAATGTGCCCTTCCTCAGGACCCGGAGCTCGAGCGGGCCAATGGTCTTGATCTTCCTCGACCCCATGTAGCCCGCGTCGAGGAATGCCAGGTCCAGCGCGTTGGCGCACCCGCTCAGAACATCGTCTGTGGCCTCAGAGCTCAGCTCCCAGAAGATCACGTACCGGCCCGGGTCGCTCGACTTCTCCACGTAGCTCGTGAAGTCCACGATCTCCAGCTTCTCCCCTTCCAGAAGCTTCGCCGCCTCCTCGACGGCCAGCTGCAGGTCCTTCTCGGTGTTCTTGTCGATGTTGATGCTCAGCACCAGGCTCCTGCGGCAGATGAACTGGAGCTCCGGCGTCGAGTTGTGGAAGCGCGCTATCTTCACCACGTCTCCTAGTCTGTAGCGATATAGGCCTACAGCAACAGAGCAGAGAAGGGACTGTAAATAGACTAAATAGTACTCAGAGATCATGGTTTGCTTTCTGCAACAATTAAATCATCTGCTGTAAGAGAAAAGGATCAAAATTTTACACCTGAACTTCACTATTTCCTGAGCAAGGAATGTCCAAAGTTGCTCTTGACAGATATGTACTAGCTGAATTAATTAATGACGCGATGTGATTGTTGAGTCTGGTATAAAGCTGATATAGACCAAGATTAGGACGCACTGGCTGGCTTATGCTGTTTGATGCTACCCCTAATGAATGCAGCAATGAGTGGACAAGAAACGTTTGTGATAGTTACTTGCCCACGTGCTTAATACACAACCTTGATGCATACAGAGCAACTGTGTTTGAAATTTGTAGGGACATGGCTAACAGGTCTGAATTTACACTGAAAACTACGCACCACAAGAACCACTAGATTCGGTGCTTCTAATAATCGTTAGAAGATAAGATATCTGACTCAGGTGACAAGCGCAAAAGCTGAACACATGATGAAAATCCAGAACATTAATATAAGTTTCCGAACAAATAGCCAAGAGAAGGAATGTACCTGCAAAGGTAGTGAGCACAACTTCATAGATTTTGCCAACCTCAACTTCAGTTAAGCCAACCGGCTCGGACTCGATGTAATGAATAGCTGCACTGTTCTCCGTCTCCTCCCCTGTTGGCTTCTCCAAAGGAATGAACTCAAAATAACCAGTCTGCGGCAGAACAGCATACGTCACCTGCTCAGGCGGTACCGTGGGGTCGATGTTAGAGCCAACCCATCCTTCGGACGCGCCGTAGTCAGCACCGATCAGCGGCAAATGCCCAGCATAATGCCGCAGCTTCTTCAGATACGGCTCCATGGACCCTGTCATGATGCCATACACGTACTTTGCCTTGGGCCACAGTGCCGGGATCACACCATACCAGTTGCTCAAGCCCGCACACTTGTTGTGGATCGAGTCAGCAAGCTCGGGGTTGGGCTTCAGAATCTTTGAAACAGCCCCGCGAATTGATGGTACTGTGATTCTTTCTGAAAGAACACCGTCTCTTATATCAGCACAGAGGTCTTCCCAGATCTCCTCCAATGTTTGAAATGCATGCACTAGGCTGTGAGCAAACGTCGAGAACACAAAATGGACCTCGTCCGAATATATCAACCCACAGAGCAAGTGACAGTACAAGGATTGGTTGAAGTCAGGGCCAAAGATGACTTCGTCGGGGCTGCAGCCCTGAGACTGGATATCCTTCATCCCTTCCTTGTAGCGCTGACTCCGGTACAGGTTTGTTGTTGCAGTTGTAGCAAGGATGCCACCAGGCGTCAAGGATTGCTTGCTACCATAAACAAATTGCAAGGCCTTTCCTTCGCCGATAGGGTATTCACTGTAATGACAAAAAATAATATCATTCCAAAACTTTGTGATGCATTGAAGAAATTAAGAACCCAGGCTACTACATTCTAATCACACGAGTTAAAGTAATGTATAAACAACACAAGTTTATGAAGCAAAAGCAGCAGTTGTACTTGAGCATGGTAACAAAATGGAGATCCTTACCGGTTTCTGAATGCGTATGAAGTACGGAATATTTGAAGTGTGTTCTCAAGCAATTCATCATTAAATGGCAGGAACTTAGGCTTCCCCTGCGTCGTACCAGAACTGCATAAAACAACAGCAAACAGGTTATAAACATCTACTTCCACAGAACAGCAAGACAACTACATTCGAAGGCAATGAGTACCTGAGGGAGAGGGAGGTGATGGGCTTCCCGGTGAGCACTGGTGCGCTATCACCATCAACAACCCTCTGGATGAAAGGTTCAACGTCGCTGTGCACGCACAGCGGGATGCAAGATTTGTAGCTCTGGGCATCAGTCCTCCCGTCGAGGCCAAACTGCCTCAGATATTCAGCATCGGCATTCGCCTCAAGGATCCTTTTCAGCGTATCCTGCTGCACGCGCCCAGCATCGCGCGTCAACATCTCGAACTCATTGATGGTCTCCTCGCAGCTACAGATCGTCATTTGTGCTGGCAGAATCCTGGCTCTATCACCTGTTCTGAAGGACAAAACAGAGGAAATGTGTGTGAGTGAGCAAGCAAATCTGTGAGGCCAGTTATAGGAGAAGAGCTGAAGGCATTGCTGCATTGCAAATTCAAATTAAGTGGCAGTGAATTCAAAGAGAACGGCGTCAAAAGATTTTGCAGTCTGTAACCACTGACTGAGCTGGAAACCAAGAACCGACAGTGCAGTCTAAAGAGAGAGGCATCAGAATGTTAAGACATTCTTGAAGAACTTCAAACTTTATCACCGACAGAATGTGAATATCCGACTAAAACGCAGTAATCTTCTTCCAACGAACACCACAAGATTGCACGCACGAATGGCGGATACGAAAAGTGGTCGGCCGGGGAGACCGAGATAAACCAGAACACCAGTATTCCCCACAGTATACCTACCAAAGAAAGCTGACTAGCAACCATGGAAAACCATGGCCACTTTGCATGCCATGTGTGGAAACATCGACAAGCCTGAGATTTTACTTTCCGGCGCAGCGTTTACTAATGAAATGAAATAGCAGATCAGAATCCCAGCAAAGGGAGGGGCATCGATGCCCGCCTTTTGCAGCAGAGATGCCACTAACAAACCCAAGGATTGCAACATAAAGACAATCTATGTAGCAAAGCTAAAGCATATACTGACATAAGACGCCACGCCAGCCAAGCAGGTTGCCTAGCTTAACTCCGCTTCACTGGCATTGTGCTAGGAACTAAATGCCCTCCCGGATAATCTTGGAAACCGTCCCCTTCAGTAATCAATAAGAGAAAGAAACAGCACACCGTCATCGGCATTTTTGCAGGAACTTTTCATGGGTATTTCATAACAGAGAAAAATATAAAATCCTCCACGCTGGCTGATTCAGGAAGCAGCATCTGGCGATACAAACTACTAAGAGAAAAGAAACAGCCACAACGCCATTGACAATTTGACAAGAGAAGAAGAAGCAGAACCCTCCCAGATATACACAGTATGATTCTTTTTTTTTGTGCTAAAAGCAGTGAGCCTACCGTTCTAGCATCGGTGAGTGGACAGAATGGGAAAGTAATAGTAGTGTCCATCCCTAGAGCAATTGTTCTATGCACGTCTCTAGACAATAGTGCTAGCATTCATATAGAAACGTTTCTTTTTTGGTGAAATATTCGACGAATCATCCATGCATCCGTCCATCCATACATACAGTGGAATCCTACGAAACAAAAAAGAAATGCCTATCGATTCTCTTCAGGTAGGGATGGACCTCGGCGCCGACCGACAGAGAAAAACAGAGCTCGCCAGCGAAGAACAAAGAAAGAAAGGAAGAGAGACATGGGCGAAACGGACTGGACAGGAATGGGCGAGCGGCGAAAGAGGGAAGTAAATGCGACGCGACCTGACTAACTGACCTAGTAACAGCCCCGAAAAGGGAAGCAAATCGACGCACGAACTGCGCAAACATGGCCAGATGATGCCCGGGATAAGAATGTGTTTGCTCCAGGTGTCGACGAGCTCGCCGGAGCAGGAACGGGCCGGTGGAGGTGGGTGGGTGGGTGGGTGGGTGGCCGTGGAAACTGATCCAAAGCTGCCGCCGCCGCCTGGAAGAACGGGAGCAGCAGAGGAGAGGAGGGAATATGGTAGTACTGGTAGCAGTGCCGTAGCATGCCGTGTGTGCTCCGACCATGGGGATGGTGGGAGCGCGAATCGGAGCGACATTCGACAGTGGACGCGGGGACTGTGAGGTTCTGGTGGCTCGTTGACCCGGGGAAGAATTTTCTGGTGGAGCTTCTAGAAGGACGGAAAGACAAGGCGCGGCACGAACGATTCCTGGTGTTGTTGCTCCAAGAATCCTCTGTTTCGGCGTTCAAGACGAAGACGAGGAGATTGGTTTCGGAAAGCTTGACGAATTCGTCCCAAGAAAATCAAATCAAAGCCAAAATCAAATTGGAGATAGGAGCAGAAGAAGTATATTCTTGGAGGTGGGCGTATCAATGAAGCAGTATTTTACCCCGGGCCGGGCGGAACAAAATCAAATTGGGGCGACTTTACGGAGCAGTATATCCCCGGCCGGCCGGCGAAAGACAAGAGAACAGAGGCAGGCCGGCAGAAACAAGAAGAGCAGAGCAGAGCCCCTCCGGCTCGTGGAACAGAGCGGAGCGGCCCCCAATCAAAATCCAAACTGGAGCCGAGAGCAGGGAGGGGAGGAGAGGGGGAGGGGGAGTGACTGACCGGTGGTGATGATCCGTGGG